CCTTAGTCAAACAAGGAACAAGCTAAAGACTTATCATGTGGTTGAAAGAAGGGTCAATAGAAAAAATAAAATGATACCCTAGAAAAGTAGGGAGAAATTGACCTTTCAAAGTTCTGATGTGAGAAAGAGAGAGGAAAAGAACTCATTGCACTTGAAAAGACAATCTTGGGGAAGATCAAGTGGGTAAGAATGATGTGCGGGATCAGGTCTTCCCCTTTCCTATCCCTGATTCTGCAAGTGCACAGGTCAGAAGTAGTAAACGGGTATCGAACACAAGGACCAGATTGCACACTACAAGTTATGAGTTTGAGAACAAGCTAGGGCAAAAGTATAATTGGTTGAGTGCAGAGAAAGTAAAGCATGCAAGTAATTAAAAGTAAGGATTCAATAGGAGAGAAAGCTAAGCAATAGGATAGTCTTGAGATAAGCAATTCAAGAAGCATGAAATCAATCAATTAGGGTTACCGCACTTAGGTGCTAATCTAGAACTTGAAACACTATGGTATGATCATTCCACTGTCGAGGCTCCGACCCCTTTGTTAATCTACCTAGTCGCTAAACTTTTGGTATGTCCCTAGGTGATTAAATCAAGCATTAGTTCGATCAAGATCAATTGTTCACAACCTACAAGTAGATCAACTGTCGCAGTCTAAAAGAGATTGCCCACCAAATACTAGTTCAGGCGAATGATACAGCACTGTCGAGGCTCAAATCAACCTAAAGGCATATGCTAATTGGCCAGATTAACAACAAGCATTAAGTATAAGCAAAGATGGAGATTATAAGTAAAACCCTAATTGTGATCAATCATCAAGCATTCATGAATGCTATCCTTTGACTTCCTATCACTTAACAAGTAAACTACTCAGACATAGAGAAGGAACACGAATTCATATTCATAAGAACAGAGATTCGAATCCTCTCTAGAAAGAGTAACAAGCAAGAACAAAGTAAAAGCAAGCAAAACTTTATTAAGATGTAAAATAGATTGTGGTCTCTCTCCTTCTTGAGTTACAAGGCTAAAAAGAAGTATTTATAATGCTCTAAGTATAAGAAGACGGCTAAACCTAATCTAGCTAGGTCGGCGCCGGCTTTGGGCTTGAATTGTGCGGATTGGGCTTCAAAAACGGCTTCGGGTCGACCGCGGCGTTCGGACGGTCGGTCGGGACGATCGGCCGGAACGGTCGGGGCCGGATGATTTCACGGTCGGCCGGCTGTGGTCGGGCGGATAGATTGGCCGATGGAAATCTCGGCCGGACGCGGGAGTTTCCCGGGTCGGACGGATGTTCGTGCGTGGTACGCGAGTGAGTTGCGCGGCCGCGAGGCGTTACTTCCCCGGCTCGCGCGCTTTGGTCGTGCGCGGCGTGGCGTTGTGGCGTGGCCGACCGCGGGCTTAAGTTTCCCGGGTCGTGATGCGTGATCGGCCGAGTGGTTTTGGACTTTGGCCGAGACTTCAGTCGGACGGATACGGTTTTGGCCGAGCGCGGAACATTCGTTCCTCGGCCAGCCGGACTGCGCGTTCGGCGCTGATTCTCGATATGGCCGTCTGGAGCAGCCTTCACTCTTTTGGCTATAACTCCTTTTCTACTCATCCAAATGAAGCCATTCCAGTTGCGTTGGAAAGTTAACTCAATCAGAGCACGCAGGGAACTGGTCTTGATGAAATCCATTGAGTAGATCTTTTTCTAGCTCCATCCAAAGTTGATGCAGGGGCATTGAACTGGTTTAGAGTCCAAATCTCCTGTTTTGCTCCATAATGCACCTTTTTACCTAAAATGACTCTTTGCACTATAAATCCATAAAAACTACCTTTTAACACAAGAATCCACTAGAAAACCATTAGAAAACCATAGTAAAATAGCATAAAAAGTAGGTAAAATAGAGGTATATCAACTCCCCCAGACTTAGATCTTTGCTTGTCCCCAAGCAAAAAGAATCTAAACTAGTGAAGAGGTTTTGAAAAACGTGGGAACTCTCTTGCTTCTTTGAAAATCCTGTGAAAGGTTCCTTTCCTGTATTCCACTAAGAACATAGTCAACATAAGGTTAGCTTCACATACACCCTGCAAGTTTAGCGAACATACCAACCCAACTAGTCTCATCCAGCAATCCAAACTCTCTATTGCTAACCTCTTGCAGAAATTTAAAGCGTGAGTTCTTTATCAAGGGAACATCGATCAATTGAACTTGTTCTTACCCACTTGATCTTCTCCAAGATTGTCTTTGAAGTGCAATGAGTTCCTTTCCTCTCTCTTTCTCACATCAGAACTTTGAAAGGTCAATTTCTCCCTACTTTTCTAGGGTATCATTTTATTTTTTCTATTGACCTTTCTTTCAACCACAGGATAAGTCTTTAGCTTGTTCCTTGTTTGATTTAGGTATTCCATAAGACATGAAGGTACAGACATATGCATTCCTCATGCTTACTTGTTTTCCTTGTGCTCTTTGAGCCTTTTCTCATAAATCATTACTTACCATTTGGGATGGGAGAGAGAGGTGAACTCTTTAGACAAATCTCATTGAAAATCAAGCAAGGAACTGTCGACATGTATGCCAATCCCCTTGACAAGAGTTATTAAGATTGATTAAGGGTGAGGTTAACTCTAGATTGCTTGGTTACCTTAGAAATTTCGCTGAGCTAGCATGCGATCCACTCTAGGAGCTTCTGTTAGGCTTGTGCCTTCAGCTGATGTTTGCTCTAGGGTCATAGATTGTTAGCATGACACTATCAAATCTCAAAGCAAGTTCATTGTTCCCGGACTGGTTTTGACTCAATAAAACAGAAGTTTTGAAAAAGTGGGTTAGGAAAAACCAATTATAAGATCAAAACAACCATGAACAAACACATTAGTACCGACAATCCCCCCAGACTTAACTTGCACCGTCCCGGTGAAAGAAAATCCAATTAAGGGAGTTAAAGAAAGAGGTAATAAAGTGGTTGTGAATGTAAAAAGAAAGATGTAACCTGATTTGTGTTACTTGAAGAATGGTGAATGCAGTGGAATGATGGTAGTGATGGAATGCAAGTGTGGTGAGGTGGGATGGGTGAGATGCAGATGGAATGAGATGGGATGGTGTGTTGGGCGGCTTGAGAGGACATGGGCGAGCGTGGAGAGGTTCTGCTCGGCCATCAAAGTCGCGCCAACTATGAACATTCTTCTTGTGGTATATCTTCTTTACCATTGTGTGGTTCTTAGATTCCTGTTTCCAAAACTCAAAACAAAACTAGACATTAACTAAAACTAATTGAAAAGAAAAGTAAAGAAAAACACCTTTCATGGGTTGCCTCCCATGCAGCGCTTCTTTTGAGTCATTAGCTTGACTGATAGGATCTCTTAGTTGGAGATGGGGTAAGGGCACGGCCTGAGACATAGTCTTTTAGTTCTTGTCTCATTGTGACCTTGAGTGTGGTCTGGTGGCTCTCTTGGGCGGCCTTGGGCAGTGATGAGGTAAGACAGCTTGTTTGGTGCGATGAATGGTATGGTCTTGTAAAAGACTGTCTTGTCACATTGGCTAAGGACATTCGCCGGTTTGGAAGGTCCATGACAGCTCCAGCAGTGGCCAAAAAGGGTCGGCCTAGTATCAATGGTGTGTCACATCCTCCTTGAATGTTTATGACATGAAAGTCCACCGGGATCTTGATATCTCCAATCTCTAGAAGAACATCAATAACAACTCCTCTTGGCTTGGCTATAGTATGGTTAGCAAGTCCAATACTAATTTGAGCAGGTTGCAAGCGTGTGATGCCAAGGAGTTTGGCGGTTTGGGTTGGCATGAGGTTTATGCAAGAGCCAGAATCGCATAGTGTTCTATCAAAGTAATGACCATTTACTTGACAGGGAATAGAGAATTGACCTGGGTCTTCAATCTTGTAGAGGGTCTTGAAGGTAGGCTGAACTTTAGCTTTCTCAAAAAGCTCTTTTATGTCCTCAGGTGTCTCCTTGCAGTTGTGGAAGAAAGGTGGTGAATGGGTAGTGGCGCCAAGCTTGTTTGGAAAGACATGCTGGCTGGAAGAGTTTGGACAAACTGATTGAACTCAGCAAGCTTCTCTCTTGATATGGAATTGACATACCACTTGGGTGGTGGTGATGATGGTGGTGATGGTGGTTGATTGACTCCATGAGGGGCAAGGGGAAATCGAGCCTTCCTGAAAAGTTGGTGTATCTCTTCTTTGTTTTCACTAGTTGTGAAAAAGAACTCCACTAGACCATGTTTATCCCAAGCTTCTTCAAAAGTGACATAGAATGGAAGTGATTTCACCTTAGCATTGAACTCTTTAAGCTTCATGGGGCTTATCTTGTTGGGATCAATGGGATCATACTGCCAAGTATCTTCTTCTTCAGTAGGTGGTGATGGTCTTTGCATTGCTTCCAATCTTGGAAGTGTAGAAGCTTGACTTCTTGGTGAGAAACGAGGGTCTCTAGGGCTTGGTGTATCCATGCTCTGTTTTGGGGAAGCATTGATGTCGATGCTCTGCTCTTCATCTTCATCATTCAATTGTTCCTCATACTCTCTTTCTTCTTCTTCATTGTCCTCATGGACTTGAGTAGTGCTTCTTCTTGTGATGGCATTGCAATAAAAGGGAGGGTGGTTGGGTGTTGGACTCCTCTCTCTCTTGTAATTGGCATGAGATGATCCTTCAAGGGCTTGTAGGCGGTTGTAGATTGATCCAAGATGTTTGCTATTGCCATAGCTAGTATCTTCAATTCTCATGCTCTTGTTCAGCAACTCTTGATATTTGGAAGCAACATCAAGCTTAACTAGGGTCAAAGATCGATCATGATCCTCTCTTAACTTCTTAATGTCTTCATCAAGCTTGATCACTTGCTTGAATAGGACTTCAGATTTGTTTCCAAGGCTCTCATGGATGAAATCGATTCTTCTCTCCATCTTCTTTGTACTCTCTTCTTGATTTCTCAAGTACTCTTGAAGCATATCTTCAATCTTGGTTAGGCGCGCAGCTTGATAGCTCTCCCTTGGGAAAAGTGGTGTCTTGTTTATGTCTGGTGATGATGGATGGTATGTGAATAGCTTGGGCGTGGTGGTGGGACATAAACAGGACCTTATCAAATCTGTGGAGGAAAGCTTCCTTTGTATCCATTCCAAGTCTTGAAAGCATGTTGGGCATTGAACTTAGCCCAGTCTTTGGCTTGTCCAGCTAGAGATAGTTGGAAAAGTTGTATCTTCTTGGGGTTGTCTCCAAGTCCATAGTCATGACAAAGCTGCTCAAAGTTGCATAGATGCTCCTTTGCACATTCTGAAATAGAGTTGTAGAAAGGATTCCTCTCCACATGCTTGATTAGCTCTTCATTCAACTTCAGGATGGGGTGGTATGCCTCCCCATTCTTCTTCATCACGCTCTCTCTCCAGCTGATGAGAGTAGTGGTGGTACTTGGATTTGAAAGGTGGCTTCTTTGCAAACCTTTCCAAGAAAGCATCTCTAAAATCGATCCATGACTCGATTCTAGAGGTGGTTCATGCTGCGCCCAATCTAGTGCTGGTCCAGCTAGTGATGTGCTGAATAGCATCATCTTCTTCTCAAAGTCAAAAACTCCATAGGAATCACAAAGATTGTCAAAGTGATCTATGTGCTCCATGCATACTCTGAAAACAGATCATGGAATTGATCTCTCTTCACGAACTCGATCAGCTCAGGGTTAATCTCCTTTTCTTTTGCTTTTTGAATTTCTAGTTTGATTTCCTTTTCTTTGATTTTTCCTTTTGTTTTTGTTTTTCCCTTTTGATTTAACTTGTTTCCAAGACTCTTTTCAGGTGCATGACTAGGAACTCCAACAAGGACACCCCCAGTTCTTTTCAAATGACTGAACTCAAGAACATGATGGCTCAAGTTCTTAAGGGACAGCTCAAGCATATCAATGCAATAGAAGGGATGAGTGATGCTAATGAAGATTCATCAAGAGAATGCATGGGAGATTTCTCTAATGAAGCCAATGAAGAAGATGTGAACTACATTGGAAACTATGGGAACAAGGGATACAATCCAAGCTATCGCCCAAACCCCAACATGTCTTATAGAAACCCCAATGTGGAGAATCCTCAAGACCAAGTGTATCCTCCAAGGTATCCACAACAACAAAGACCTCCTTACCAATCTCAAGGAAGTCAATTTCAGCCAAGGCAAGGATATGAGCAGAGATCATCATATCCGCCCAAGGAGCCATATGCTTCTTCACCAAATCAAGCTCCTCCAAACCAACAAGGTGGGAGATTTGAAGGAATCCTCCAACAGATCATGGATGGCCAGAAGAGAAACACTAAAGAGATGTATGAGAAGATGGACACTTTGTTCAGCAATCTCAACACCAAGTATGATGCTGTTGCCACTCATGTGAAGAAACTAGAGACTCAAGTCACTCAAACTATGGAAGCTGTTAAGAGACAGGAAGCTGAATCCAAGAAGTCCTTTTGCAACTCAGCGCCATAGAAGAAAGATTTGAAGACCAAGTTCCAGAATGGATGCTTTCAAAACCTACTGTTGATTGCATGATTTGGCCTGAAGAGAATTACCCAGAGAGAGAGTCCAATCGAGCTAGAAAGAGAAGACTCTTCCCAAAGATTATCCCCAAGACAGATAACTCAGGAAAGTTTGTTGTGCCTTGTATCATCAAAGGTAACATTCTTGAGCAATCTTTGTGTGACACAGGAGCCAATGTGAACATCATGTCTAAGAGGATAGCTGACAAGATAGGCCTCACCAAGATAGAGCCATCATCCATCTCCATCAACTATGCTGATTCATTCTCACAAACCCCTATGGCTTTGTGCCTAATGTGATGGTGCAGATTGGAAATTGCTCTATCCCTACTGATTTCCAGATTGTGGAAATGAGAGAGAGTAGCCATAGACCTCTCATATTTGGAACCCCTTTCCTGTCTACTGTGGGTGCCATATTTGATTTCCCCAATCAAAGAATCTCTTTCAACAAGGTGAACAAGGGTATGTTCTTCCCTATGTGTTCAACAAAGAACTCTTTTGTTGACATGGTCCAAGAGGAGAAAGTTACTTTGAAGCCACCCCAAGAAGGAGAAACTGAAGAAACAATCAAGGAAGATCCCATTCCTAAGCCCAAGCAGCTTGCCAAACAAGCAAGGAGTAAGACTAAGGCCCCTACACCAAAACCGCCCAAGGGATCAACCAAGATTGAAGATGAGGCCAAGCCAAGAAGAAGGTTAGAAAGCCTAGGTCTGGCCGCAACATGAAGCTTCTATTCCCAAAGGAGCTTATTGATGAGAATCTAGAAGGATTCAAGGAGAAAGTGACAAGAACTCTAAAGCTTTTTCCTAAGGCAGTAGTGCCAAGGGACATTCATGGAGAGATTGTCTATCCAGCTGTGAATCACCCACCAGATACTCATTGCAAGGAGAAAAGACTTGGAGGATCAAGATGCCTCTTGTCTCCATCTTCTCCTGAGTGCCAAGCCTTACAGTCAAGCTAAAGACTTAAAACAAGCGCTGCATGGGAGGCAACCCATGAGGTACTTTTACTTTTCTTTCTTTAATTTTCTTAGTTTTTGTTTTGCTTTTGTGTTTTCTTTGTTTTAAGATAGGATAGAAGGAGAAAAAGGTGTGAAAACACAATCCGCGCCAAAACATTGGCCGCGGACGCGCAAAAGTGATTTTGGCCGAGCAATTCCATGGCCGACCGTTACGGTCGAGCCGGGAAGGAATAAGCCGTGCTCGGCCGGATTCACTCATTGCGCGACAGAAACCGTTCGAGCGACGCACGAACCGGGAAGAAACGAGCCGCGATCGGCCGAAATTTTCGTATCGGAACGGACCGACCGTGCCGGTCGATCCGGGAAACATCGATCGGCCTCGGCCGAAATTCTCTCGGCCAAAACAAATTTGGCCGACCAAATCGCTCGACCGCGACAAATCCATCGGCCATCGGCCCAAAACTTTTCTCGGCCAAGGTAAGTCCCCTTTTCATTTAATTCAAACCGGTTTTAACCAATCTAAACCAACTTAAACCGGTTTTCAATCAAAATTCGAATTTGAAAAGGAAAATTGATAGGATTAGATCTTATTTACTTTACCTTTCCCTTGAAAACAACAAGAACCTCTCTTTCTTCTCCAAAACCCTAAACTCCATTAGAGGAACTCTAAGAGTTTTGATTTCAAAACTTTTACTGTTCATAACTCTAAATTGGAATTTACTTGCTCTTGCAACCCTTATTCACTTTTCAACACACAAGGTATGTCTTCTAACTCTAATCCTATGTTTATGCAAGATCGAAATTCTCAATAAGTTTCTTGTTTGGTCTAAACTCTTGTCTAAACTTGAAATTACATCTTATAGTCTTGTAATGAACTTTGCTAGGTGGAACCTAGGTGGTTTAGAGTTAATTTGAAGTTTAATTTCACAATTGAATAGTTTTTCACAAAACTTATTGGGCATTCCAAACCCCTTATTCAAAGGTGAAATTGCTTAGGCATACTTCAATTCATTAGTTTATCTAGTGATTACTTGGATTAGAAACTCAATTTCTCTTGATTTGCTGAAAATTTGATTTTAAGCACCATAATCTTGGGATGAACAGTAAAATCCGAAAATTAACTTTGAAAAAGTGAAATTTCTATTTTGTCTCTTTGATTCATGATTAAGCCTTGAGTTGTTCCTTTATTCCATATCATTATTACAACTCAATTAGCTTATTCTTCTTTTGCATTAATCACAAACTCATATTTCTTCCCAAGAATTTGCTCTTGTAGGTACCAATGGCAAAGACAAAAGGAAATGAGAGTATGAAGAAGAAGAAGAACCCATTCATGGAACCACCAAAGAAACAAATCAAGCTAGGGAGTAGTAGCTCCAATGCAAGAGCAGCAATACCAACTTCACCACATTCCATTGATGCAATCAAGAACATGTGGAGAGTCCAAGAAGAGGAGAAGATGATTGGGCACTTGTAACCTTTGTTGGAGAACAAATCCAAGACCCAAGAAAGTGTAAGAAGGCAATGGAGAAGGTGAACATCGAGCCATGTGTGAAGATGGACACCCAAACCCTTGATCTTCTCAAGATAAGAGATGATGTCACATGGTACATAAGGAAGCTAGGCTTGAGCAAGCTCTTCAAGCTAGAATGTAGTGAGTACTCACAACTCACCAAGGAGTTCCTCTCCACAGTAGCTCTTGCCTTTCCCAACCACAATGGAGACCAACCAGCTGGTGATGGACTCCTACTCTTCAAGATAGGCGATGCCAATGGGCGCATCTCCATCTCAGCTCTATGCCAACTCTTTGGACTTCCCAATGAGACAGCACATGACTTCAAGGAGAACTCAAAGAGGAAACAAGCTGCCTTTGCTGATTGGACACACTTTGCCAATGAACCATTCTTGCCTTCAAGGTCAAAGGTGTCTAGAATCACCATCCAGCCATTCGCTATGTGCACCGCCTCATCTCCACCACTTTCCAATGCAAACAAGAAGCCAACAAGGTCACAACTGATGAGTTCTACATCCTCACCACACCATTCATCAAGCATGAGTACAAGGCCAACCTTGGACTTTTACTTGCCAAGACATTCATCAATGTGAGGAAGCTAGCTCAAGACTTGGAAGGCAACAAGAAGCTTTGTGTTCGTTTTGGGAGGCTTATCACGGCCATAGTACAACATGTGGGGATTGACATTCCCAACTATGAGCCACTACCCAAGCCAACCCCTTTGGATCTCCATGCTCTTCAGCACATCCACTTCCTAAACCGTTGGACTAAAGACCCAACTCGGTTTTGCTATGAGTTTCCAATTGGTCCAGCCAACACTTCCCTTGTCTTGCTGCCACATGAAGACATCCCAAGCCTACGCTCAGGAGTTGTCACTTTCCAGCCCAATGAGGAAGACTTCTATGTTCCATCAAGTGAGAAACCATCATTCCCCATGCTCACCTATCGCACACTTCAGCATGCAGTCAAGACTCAACCGCCGTCCAAGAACGCCATGTTCTCACTACTGGCATGGCCGCGCACCAAGCTCTAGACCGTGTTAACAAGCTGGAGAAGATAGTGGAATGCCAATCTCGCTTCATCTCACGCCTAGTCCGTGTAGTTCGCCACATTGCACCGGAGAGACTCTTTCGCCCTTCTTCCACCGCTAGAGAGCCATATGAGCCTGACCTTGGTGAGTTCTCACTAGACTCAGAGCTTGGTTCAGAAGGCGATGACCCCATAGATGAGGAAGAGAGTTCTTCTCACTGCCACACATAGTCATCTCAAGTGGTACTTAGTGCAATGGACACTTACAAATCTCCATTTTCTATCCCTATCTCATTTTAATGAATTTTTCTTTATTTTTCTTTTACTTTGAATATTACCTCTCACCTTAATGTGATTTGCTTTCACCGGGACGGTGCAAGTTAAGTCTGGGGGGAGTTTTATTGTGTTACTAATGCATTTTTCTTTCTTTTCTTATGTTTTATTCACTTTGTTTCATGTTTTTCAAAAAGTTTTATTGAGTCAAAAACCAGTCCGGAAGTTATGAACTTGCTTTGAGAATTGAGAGTGTTGTGCTAACAATCCATGACCCTAGAGCAGAAACCAGCTAAAGGCACAAGCCTAACAGAAGCTCTTACAGTGGATCGACATGCTAGCTCAGCAAAATTTCTAAGGTAACCAAGCAATCTAGAGTTAACCTCACCTTAATCAATCTTAATACTCTTGTCAAGGGGGTTGGCATACATGTCGACAGTTCCTTGCTTGATTTTCAATAAGATTTGTCTAATCTTTAAAGAGTTCTCCTCTCTCTCCCATCCCAAATGGTAAGTAATATTTATGAGAAAAAGCTCAAAGAGCACAAGGAAAACAAGTAAGCATGAGGAATGCATATGTCTGTACCTTCATGTCTTATGGAATACCTTAGTCAAACAAGGAACAAGCTAAAGACTTATCCTGTGGTTGAAAGAAGGGTCAATAGAAAAAATAAAATGATACCCTAGAAAAGTAGGGAGAAATTGACCTTTCAAAGTTCTGATGTGAGAAAGAGAGAGGAAAAGAACTCATTGCACTTAAAGAGGCAATCTTGGAGAGATCAAGTGGGTAAGAACAAGTTCAATTGATCGATGTCCCCTTGATAAAGAATTCACGCTTTAAATTTATGCAAGAGGTTAGCAATAGAGAGTTTGGATTGCTGGATGAGACTAGTTGGGTTGGTATTGTTCGCTAAACTTGCAGGGTGTATGTGAAGCTAACCTTATGTTGTCTATGTTCATAGTGGAATACAGGAAAGGAACCTTTCACAGGATATTCAAAAGAGCAAGGGAGCTTCCACGTTTTCAAACCTCTTTCACGGATTTAGATTCTTTTTGCTTGAGGACAAGCAAAGATCTAAGTCTGGGGGAGTTGATATACCTCTAATTTACCCACTTTTTATACTGTTTTAGTATTGTTTTCTAATGGTTTTTGGCAGGTTTTCTATCTAAAAAGGTAGTTTTACTGTGTTTATAGTGTCTAGAGTCTAAACAGGTGAAATGATGCATTTTGGAGCAAAACCATAGGATTTGCACTTCAAGCCGCTCCATGCACAAGCACCAACTTTAAGAGGGCCCAGAAAAAGATCTACTCAATGGATTTCATCAAGACCAGTTCCCTGCGTGCTCTGATTGAGTTAACTTTCCAACGCAACTGGAACGGCCTAATTTGGATGAGTAGAAAAGGAGTTATACCAAAAGAGTGAAGACTGTCCAGACGGCTCTATCGAGAATCAGCGCCCAACCGCGCAGTCCGGCTGGCCGAGGAACGAATGTTCGCGCTCGGCCAAAGTCAATCCGTCCGTCTGAAGTCTCGGCCAAAGTTCCAAACCGACCGGCCGATCACGCAATCACGACCCGGGAAACATTGTCCCGCGGTCGGCCAAGCCCAACGCTCACGCCACGCCACGCCGCGCACGAATGCCGCGCGAGCCGGGAACAAGCCTCGCGGCCGCGCAACCCGTTCGCGTACCACGGCCGATGCATCCGTCCGAGCCGGGAAAGAACGTCCCACGTCCGGCCGAGAAACCATCGGCCAAATCTTCATCCGTCCGACCACAGCCGGCCGACCGCGAATCCGTCCGGCCCGACCGTTCCGACTCGGCCACGACCCGATTGTCCGGCCGATCGTCCCGACCGACCGTCCCAACGCCGCGGTCGACCCGAAGCCCTTTTTGAAGCCCAAACTTATGTTTTCAAGCCCGGCTTAACCCTAAGCCGCCTCTAGAAAGACCTAGCACTATATATATATTTTTAGCCTCTTGAAAAGAGAGCCGCCCTTGTATTTCGATTTCCTACTCTAAGTTTTATTGCAATCATGTTTTCTTCATCTCTATGTGTGTTTGCTTTGATCATGTCTGAGTAATCCACTAGTTAGGTTGCTAGGGTTACTATTCAATGAGTTGCTTGCATGATCTTTGATTTCAATGATTAGCTAGGGATTATATTAGAGTCTTTGTCTCGTCTTGTGCACTTAACTAATGCTGATTGCTTTACCGCGCATCTAGTAATCCGATCTTAGGTTGATTTGAGCCTCGACAGTGCTGTATCATTCGCCGGACATATTCTTTGACAAGCTAGGTTTCTTAGACTGCGAAAGTTGATCTATCTATATCTAGTGAACTGTATCAGAACCTATTCATTCTAATGCTTGATCTAATCACCTAGGGACATACCAAAAGTTTAGCGACTAGGTAGATTAGCAAAGGAGCCGGAGCCTCGAAAGTGGAATGGTTTTATATTCGTGATCTGTGTTCTAGATGGTTCTTAATATCCCAATATCCCTAATCAATTAATCTATCATTGTTTCATTGATCATTGCTTGCTTCTCTGCGATAGCCCCTATGACCTAGCGCTTTTCCTTTATTGTTTACAACCTCGTTATACTTGCTAGTTCGGTTCACCATTACAACCTCAATCATACTTTTGTTTTAGCTTGATCCAAAATCCATAGTTCAAAGTGTACTCAATAGCCAGTCCTTGTGTTCGATACCCATACTTCCGCGATCTGTGCACTTGCAGAGGTCTAGGAGTTTGGTAAAACCTGACTCCGCATGAATGATCAGTGTGGATAACAAACTCCTTCGGCCAAAGATAGTGTTGCCATGTTTGTAAGGCTCGGACCAAGGCATAAAGCTCCTTGTCATAAGTCGGGTAATTGAGAGTGGCTCCTCCAAGTTTCTCACTGAAGTAGGCAATCGGCTTCTTGTCTTGCATGAGAACAGCTCCTATTCCGATTCCTGAGGCATCACACTCAATTTCAAAAGTTTTAAGAAAGTCAGGCAACATAAGAACAGGTGCATTAGTAAGTCGATCCTTAAGAGTCTGAAATGCTTCCTCCTGTGCCTTCTCCCATTTGAAACCAACTTCCTTCTTGATAATCTCAGTCATTGGCGCGGCTATAGTGCTAAAATCCTTAACAAACCGCCGATAGAATCCGGCCAAGCCATGAAAGCTCCTGACCTCTCCAACGGTCTTAGGACTAGGCCAGTCCCGGATAGCTGCGACCTTCTCTTCATCAACCTGTACGCCATCTCACCACAAAACCTAAAAAGACAACGTTATCCGTACAAAAGGTGCATTTCTTGAAATTGGCGAACAGTTTCTCCTCCCTAAGGACTTTCATGACCGCGGCAAGATGCTTAAGATGATCATCAAAGGTCCTGCTATAGATCAGGATATCATCAAAATAAACAACCACAAAATGACCAATGAAAGACCTAAGGACATGATTCATTAAGCGCATGAAAGTGCTTGGCGCATTGGTCAAGCCAAATGGCATCACAAGCCACTCATATAGACCATGCTTGGTTTTAAAAGCGGTTTTCCACTCATCACCTTCCTTCATCCGGATTTGGTGATAACCACTCTTAAGATCAATTTTAGAGAAGATGCAAGAGCCATGTAACTCATCTAGCATGTCATCAAGTCTAGGAATAGGGTGTCGATACTTTACAGTGATGTTATTGATGGCGCGGCAGTCGACACACATTCTCCAGCTTCCATCCTTCTTAGGCACAAGAAGAACAGGAACAGCACAGGGCTCATGCTCTCTCTAATGTGGCCTTTCTCCATGAGTTCATCCACTTGGCGCTGAAGTTCCTTGGTCTCAACCGGATTGGTTCTGTAAGCCGGCCTGTTTGGTAAAGTGGAGCCGGGGACAAAATCAATCTGGTGCTCAATACCTCGGACAGGAGGCAAGCCTGGTGGACTATCCTCAGGAAAGACATCACTAAAATCCTGCAAAAGTTGAGCTAGTTCACTCGGAATCTCCGGTGGAGTATGAGTCAAGCCAATCAAGTGTTCCTTATATATAAATAAGAGAAAAGGTTTGTTTAAGTTCAAGGAACGTTTAACCTGTTTTGGCTTCACCAGGAAGTTCTTTGGCTTAGGAGATTTAGGTGGCTTAACTTCCTTTCCAGCGAGTTGTAACTGATCTTCATAGACTTCTTGTGGACTCAAAGGAATCAAAGTGGTTTTACGGCCCTCATGAAGAAGAGTATAGCGGTTTGTGAATCCATCATGGATCACACGCCTATCAGATTGCCAAGGCCGTCCTAAGATGATGTGACCGGCGTCCATGGGTAGAATGTCACAAAGGATCTCATCCTTGTAGTTGCCAATGGACAAGGGCACAACCACTTGGTTCTTGACCCATCTCTCCAGTTTCATTCAGCCAGTTAAGCTTATAAGGCCGCGGGATGCCTTGATAGTTAAGCCCAATTTCTCAACCATAGTTTCACTCGCCACATTGGTACAGCTTCCTCCATCGATAATCAAGCTGCACACCTTATCTTGGACTAAGCACCGAGTGTGAAAGAGGTTCTCGCGCTGCTCATCCTGATCAGTCTGACTTGAGTACTCAAGACACGTCTGGCCACCAAAAGTCTGCCTTGGACAGGCACGGCTTCATACTCCTCAGGCTCTTCTTCTTTCTCTGGTTTCTCTGGCTCAGGATCCTCCTCGGACTCAATCTCTCCATTGTCGCGATGATCATCACTTTCTTGTTCAAGCAGTCAGAGGCATAATGCCCAAACCCTTGACACCTAAAGCACTTGAGATCACGGGTTCTGGCTGGTGGAGTGCGCTCAGTCCGGCTCCTGTCTTGATTAGTAGCCAGAGGTTTCATTTCTGACTTGGGCGCGAAAGGCTTAGAGTCGCGGTAAAGGTTGGTCGGCGCGGCTCTGAATTGAATCGAGTGGAGCTTCTCCTTTTCAATTGTGTCTCGGCCAAGACAGCCTTGTGGAACATGGATTCAAGACCCACACAATTTTGCATCTCCACAATATCTTGTATCTCACGGTTCAAACCTCCAAGGAATCGAGACATAGTGGCCTCGCGATCTTCAACCACATTGGCGCGCAAGAGCATTACCTCCATCTCTTGGTAATATTCTTCCACAGACTTGGACCCTGAGTAAGCTTCCTGAGCTTGGAGTGTAGCTCACGTTGGTAATGGCCAGGGACAAATCGTTGCCTCATGATGCGCTTCATTTCTTCCCAAGTAGTAACCTCAAAGGCACCACCAATCTCGCGCGCCAAAATGATTTGTTCCCACCATCTCAACGCATAATCGTTGAACTCCGAGACGGCTAGCTTGACACGGTTGTCTCCAATGATGTTGTGCAAGTTAAAGTTGAACTCGCACTTCTTTTCCCAATCCATGTACTCGTCCGGATTGTTTCGGCCATGAAACGGTGGAATCCTCATCTTGTAGCCGCCCAAGTTCTCAACCATACGGTTGGGCTCTTCTCGCTGCCTTCTAGCTCGGCGCCGGCTTGAGTGAGAGGAATGACCGCTGCCGTAGTAGGCATGAGCCTGATCGTCACCGAGACCATGAGATGCCATGGGATCGTTCCTCTTGTCTCCATCGGAGATATGTATCGGATTCCTAGTCTCCTTCCTCTTGCCTTGTTTGATCTGTTCTCTCCGATCAAACTCGTCCGCCATCATCTTCTTGATCTGATCTAGCAAGGCCTCTCCAACACCGCTGGATCCTTCTTCCTTGTCCGTCACCATGGTACCTGAAATTTAAACCAAAACCGCGGCAGTCAAAAGTTCAAAGGAAATATTGTTGCAACAATTTTAAAAATCATAGAAATAATTTTAAAAATTATGCAACCACTCAGAGATGACAGATCTATGCGGAAATGATCAGAATAAATTGTGGCAAAATTATTAAAATTATGGAATAAATTAAAAAGGCAGTGATGGGCGAGAATGATCAAATGGATGATGAAACAAGTGATGGATGATGAACAAATGATTTCAAAATGATCGAAAAGTAACCTTGATGAGTAAACAAGCATTGGATGTGAAGGATATGACAATGGAAACAATGAAATGATCAACGGCACAACAACAAAGCAAAATCATATTCAAGATCTACGATTCTCAGATTTGGAAGATGAACAGTTATAAATCATAAAAATCGAGATCACTTAGCTTTAAGGAGCTCTGATACCAACTGATACGCCCCTGGAGTAGATCGGCTTGAAAGCTAAGTGTTTGAGCGGATTGGAACACAAAGGATCCAATGATGGATGAGATGAATGGAATGGTGAATGGATCGAGTGGCTATACTAGAGAACCCGCGGAAATGGAACTCTAACACCACCTTCGACTTGTTGATATTACACACAACAAGTGAAAGGAAATCTGTAGACTTAGATGATATTACGCACAACAAGTGAACAGATGAGTGATCAAACATAAAAGAGAGGTTTTTGATTAAAATGATTGATAAGTTTCAAAGAAAGAAAGGTTTTGAGTTTTAAAGGAAACGAGAGAGAAGGGAAGAGAGAAGGAGATGATTGGAACAAGCTCCACATCTCGAAAACAACAAAACATAAATGAAACAAAGACTGAGTCGACCCTTCGGCTTCTTGGCGCTCTCCTTTGAAAACTTGGGCCGGACCTTCACAAATGAGAAAAGAGAGGATTTGGAAGTGTGCAATGGGCCTCGTTAAAAACCTTGTCAAGAAAAACCCATAGGGACAAAAACTTGACAAGGGAAAAAGAGCACACCAAGGCACACTTGTCTCTTTATCCCATTGTTAAGGCCTTCAAGCAAACCAGAGTAGTTGGCTTGGCTTCTTGTTGGTTCAAGGCGCTAAGGACTTTGCCAATTGCTTGGTTTAGTGCCTTAGTTCTTGAACGAGGATTGGGCCAGTTGGAATGGCTAAGCTCTCCTCAGGTACAAGCTGCTCTGCTTCAAGTCCATCCGCGGCTACAAGCTGCTCCATTCCATATTCTTCCTCGGCCAAGAGCTGCTTTTCCTGAACCTCCTCATCCATGATCGCATCAAATGGCCTTCCAGCCGATCATCCTATTGATCACATAGAAAACTTTGAAGAGATTTGCAGCAATACTAGATCCAATGGAGTCTCTACTGACTACTTGAAGTGCAAGCTCTTTTCATTTTCTCTTGGCGACAAAGCTTCAAGATGGTTGAAGTCTCTGCCAGCTCACTCCATCACCACTTGGGATGAGTACAAGGCCGCTTTCATCAACCACTTCTACACCAAGGAAAGATCAGTTTCTGTAAGGAACAAGATATCCAATTTTCGCCAAGCCGCCAATGAATCTTTCTATGAGGCGCTAGACCGATTCAAGGAGTACATTAGGGACTGCCCTAATCATGGTTTCAAGGAGGGAAACCTATGGAACATTTTCTATCGTGGCATAGACCACAAGTACAAGCTTTCATTGGACACTGCAAGCAATGGAAATTTCATGACCAAGACAATTGATGAAGCTAAGTTCTTATTGAGAATCTTGCAGCTAGTGATTGTAACAATTGTCCTGATTATGATCGCTCAAGCCGCACCACTACTACATCCCCTGATGTTTCTCAAATGGCTGAACTCAAGAACATGATGGCTCAAGTTCTTAAGGGACAGCTCAAGCATATCAATGCAATAGAAGGGATGTATGAAAAGATGGACACTTTGTTCAGCAATCTCAACACCAAGTATGATGTTGTCAGTCACCTGTGAAGTTTGGTGGACTTTGGTCACGCCGTTTAAGAGTTGGCCGTAAATTGGTCTCCTTGTGCGCGGCATGGCCAAGAGAAATGTGCCGGATTGAATTTCTTCAAATCCACTCGGGCCAATTGAGATTTGATGCGACCGAAATGTTTTTATAACCATCCTTTATCATTCCCAAGTTGTGACCGCCTTGTTTCGTGTGATGGCCTGTGTTTCTCCTTGTAACCTCCTTTTGGTCGCCATATGGATGTTAGTTTTAGGTTGGTTACAGCCTTTCTTAATGTCTCATACCTATCAAATGGTTGACTCGTTGCAAAACACTTGAAATCACTTATTAGATGGTTTCTTAGATTGAGATCCTCAAGTAACCAACTTGAAGTTCACAATCCAAGAGAGTAATGTATAAACTATAAACACTTTTTGGGTCTTGGTTAATGATCCCAAACTTCAAATTATAGTGTAATCTCTGTGAATTAAGGTCATGAAATGAGTTTGACAAGTGACTATGTATTTCATTCAATAACCCTCAAAAATGTAAATCAATTGAAACCATGAAATATTTGTGATTAAGTGCAATGGTTCAAACGATTATCAAGTTAAGATCAGTGGAGGTTATGAACGAATACAAGATGAGAATTGGCTTACCTTTTTAAGAAGAAACTCCTTGTGCAAGGGTGGGCTCATTGGGTGGGACACTTTCATGTATTGGTCTCCTTTTGGGTCTTCATCCTAAAAACATTTTTTTGTATTTTTATGCAATTTTTTAAAAATCCCTGAAAAATGAAATAAGATAGTTATGCATGCAATAATGATATGAAAATTAAAACCATGTGGGTTGCCTCCCACAAAGCGCTTTGTTTTAAGTCATTTAGGTTGACTCCTTTTCTTTTTAAGTGCTTGGAAGAGTGACCAAAGGGTTTAGGATCCCTTTAGCTGCTCCATTCTCTGGTTCAGGGGGCTCACGTGGTGGTTTGGGCACGCCAACATCATCTCCTATGCCACCTTTGAAGACAAATGCACTTGGGAAGAGCCTTAAGGTGTTCCTCAGCTTCTCCTTTGCGGTATGATCTTCTTTTGAGACCCAACCCTCAGAGACAAGGATTCTTATCTTGGTAAGGGAATTAGGCACTACATAAGGCTTCTCATTAGCTCCATATTCGTCCAAGGTAGGGAGCAAAACCGAGTTGATATCCTTGAAGACATCTTTATGTTTCAGCATTGATGGTTTCATGACCACCTTCGGTTTTGGATAGGGCTCACTCTTCTTGGGATCTTTAGGCATCATGGCTCCTTTCTCTGGCGTGTTAGAAGTCTTCTCTGGTGGCAGCTTGATCGCTCTTGGTGCAGTCTTGAAGTCGATGCTTTGATAGAAAACATCTTGTTGGATGTTTCCTAGTGACATGCGGTTTCTCATGAAGTCTATGACTGCACCGGCTGTGGCTAAGAATGGGGCTCCAAGTAGCAGCTGGTTCCTCTTTGATCCTTCCCATACCATGATTTGGAAATCAGTAGGGACTAGGCGACCTCCTATCTCCAGCATAACATTCTCTAAAACTCCATAGGGCTCCACACATGACAGCTCCGCGAACTCCATCTTTGCCTAGGATCTTTAAAATATTTGAATCCCAAATCTCTTGCTAATGCATAAGACATGAGATTCACAACAGCTCCAGTGTCACATAGGCAGTCATTGATTTCACACCCATTGATAGAAACAGGAATCACAAACTTCCCCGGATCTTCTAGCTTTGGCAATGGCTTGTTCACAAGCCTTCTCTTGTATGCTCTCTTTGACTCCCATGGAAACCTCTCCGGTTTTTGGCTCTCCTTAGGCTCAGCTTCTTCTTCTCCTTCTTGAGATGGTGTAGGTATAGGTACGAGCTGGTCTTCCTTAGGTGAGACAATGCTACAAAATGTTGTAGGGTTTACCTCATTTTGTTTCTCTACGGCTTCCGCGGTTTGGACTATTTGAATCCCCAAGTTCTGGACATGAGAGGAGAGAGATCCAAACTTGCTGCAAATATCAGTGAAGACACGATCTAGCTTCTCATAGAGGCTCTGGGTGGTTTGCCTTTGCTCCTCCATATATCTTTCCAAGACCACATCTAACTTCTCTTCTTGTTGAGCCGGTGCAACAGCTTGAGGGAAAGTGAAGGGCTGCTCCACCTGATAGATTCCCTTAGGATAGACTTGTTGCTTAGGCTGGTATTGAGCTCCTTGATAGACGTTCTGGCCAGGATACACGAAGTTTTCACCAATGTAGTTCACTTCCTCTTGATGCCGCCTAACCGGTGGGGGCATTGCATAAAAGCTCATCAAGTCCATTCTTTCTCTCCTTTGTCTCCTTGTTTTGAGTTGGATCTTCTTGTGATGCACCTGAAAACAAAAGAAAGAGAAGATAAACAAGTAAGCAAATTTTTATGATTTTTTTTTTTTTGAAAAACAGAAAAGTAAATTGCAAGAAAACAAGAACTAGACTAGAATTCAATCAAAAAGCTTGAAGGAAATGAAACAATCTCCCCGGCAACGGCGCCAAAAACTTGATGGAGGCTGGGTTTAGCTTCCTCAAATGATAATATTTTTAACCCAACCAATGTAGCTGCAAGTGCACAGCAAGAGCAGTAGTATAGTCGGGGTCGAACCACAGGGAGATGCGATTTCACTTCAAAGTTATGTAGACTGAAATTCAAGCTAGAACAAAATAGAGATGTTGTGAGTAGCAAAGCAAAAGAGAACAAAGAAATGATTAGAATGAGGTGTAAACAATAAGGAAAAGTACTAGGCATTAGGCAAATCGCAAAGCATCACAAATTATCAACAAACAATCAAGTGAAGGGATTCATTATCATTCTTGAACTCAAATCACTAAGGTATAGTCTTTCCACTTTCGTGGCTCCAACCACTATGTTTAAACAACCTAATAGACTCAGCTTTCGTTGGTTATTACAAGTTGTAAACATGCATTACAAGGTTCAAGATTCAATTGTTCACAATAGTCCATAACTCAACTTTCGTTGGCCATGACCTATTGCTCACCAAATACTAGTTCCGGCAATATAGCAAGCTTTTGGAGAGTATATTAACCCAAGATCCGATGCTAGATGATCAGAAAAGCAAACGGCATTATGCTCAAGTAAAGGTGAAGAACTCAAAATATAATCCCAACTCACAAGATCAAAAGATTAAAGTTGACAATTCATGAACTCATTGATTTACCATTAGCCTAGCAAAGGATCTACTCAGCCATGATGCAAACAACACAACAAGTTATGATTGAAAGCATTATGAAAGTATTAAAAGAGGTAAAGGGATGAAGAAAGCTTATCTATTGATGAATGATGTGCGGGATCAGGTCTTCCCTTTCCTATCCCTGATTCTGCAAGTGCACAGGTCAGAAGTAGTAAACGGGTATCGAACACGAGGACCAGATTGCACACTACAAGTTATGAGTTTGAGAACAAGCTAGGGCAAAAGTATAAGTTGGTTGAGTGCAGAGAAAGTAAAGCATGCAAGTAATAAAGAAAGTGAGATCAATAGGAGAGAAAGGCTAAGCAATAGGATAGTCTTGAGATAAGCAATTCAAGAAGCATGAAATCAATCAATTAGGGTTACCGCACTTAGGTGCTAATCTAGAACTTGAAACACTATGGTATGATCATTCCACTGTCGAGGCTCCGACCCCTTTGTTAATCTACCTAGTCGCTAAACTTTTGGTATGTCCCTAGGTGATTAAATCAAGCATTAGTTCGATCAAGATCAATTGTTCACAACCTACAAGTAGATCAACTGTCGCAGTCTAAAAGAGATTGCCCACCAAATACTAGTTCAGGCGAATGATACAGCACTGTCGAGGCTCAAATCAACCTAAAGGCATATGCTAATTGGCCAGATTAACAACAAGCATTAAGTATAAGCAAAGATGGAGATTATAAGTAAAACCCTAATTGTGATCAATCATCAAGCATACATGAATGCTATCCTTTGACTTCCTATCACTTAACAAGTAAACTACTCAGACATAGAGAAGGAAACGAATTCATATTCATAAGAACAGAGATTCGAATCCTCTCTAGAAAGAGTAACAAGCAAGAACAAAGTAAAAGCAAGCAAAACTTTATTAAGATGTAAAATAGATTGTGGTCTCTCTCCTTCTTGAGTTACAAGGCTAAAAAGAAGTATTTATAATGCTCTAAGTATGTAAGAGGCGGCTAAACCTAATCTAGCTAGGCGGCGCCGGCTTTGGGCTTGAATTGTGCGGATTGGGCTTCAAAAACGGCTTCGGGTCGACCGCGGCGTTCGGACGGTCGTGCGGGACGGTCGGCCGGACAGTCGGGTCTTTGGCCGAGTCGGAACGGTCGGGCCGGATGTTTAACGGTCGGCCGGCTTGGTCGAGCGGTTGAGATTTGGCCGAAGGATTCTCGGCCGGACGTGGGTCGATCTTCCCCTGGTCGGACGAGTGCATCGGCCGTGGTACGCGGAACGAGTTGCGCTGTGATACCCCGTATCAAGACCTAAAACATCCCAAAGGCCGGGATGGGAAGATCAACACTCTGGGATTGGAAGACAAAGACGTGGATCTAATCCAGAGATCACAACGAAGACTTGGATCAAGACAGGATCAAGAACGATCGAGCAGAAGTGAAGATACAGCAAGATTGTCCAGGTGGGACGATCATTGTACGAACATGGGAAGAGTCAACAGGACGACGAAATATCAAAGTTCTCCAAATCAAGAAGAGAAGAGTTTGGACGACATAAGAGACCATTCTAAGAAGTTTGGTCGAAGCAGAATGCAAATCGGACGAGCAGATTGAGAGATGGGACGGACGCCAAGATCTATCCCGCAACGACTGCAAGAAGCGTAAATGTTCGGGATGGAGGTATTCTGCACATTTCCAAGCAACTATGTGGAAGCTCAGAAACATGGAAATGAGAGAAGGATTAAAATAGGAGATTTTAATTCTCAAGCACGACGGGGACGAAACCCTCCAGACAGGGAAACGTACGAAACCCTCTGGACGAGGAAACGTACATTGGAGCAATCTTGTTCTAAGCCAATCAAGTGGTGACACCAGCTACTTGGAGAAGATAAGGATGATCATAACCAATATGGAGAAGACATGCAGCTACTACAATGGAGCCAAAACCATTCAGCCAATCAAGTAGAGACATTGAGCTATTGGAATGGGACGAAATTGTGTTGGACCAATCGTGCGTCAACACTACCTGCTAGGAGAGAGTGAAGCCGTGGATAAGCATTCTTATTGGATGATCTTATCCAAAAGAAATGGACGAATCAAATGGAGATACACAGCAGCTTCTAAGACGGGCCAATCATGTAGCAACATCCAGCTACTGAATGAAGACGAAGCAAGCCTAAACCAATTGGGCAACGACACCAGCTGCTATGGAGGAGAGAGGGCGTGGATAAACTCCAAGAAGACCTAATGCTATCAGGGAGAGACACCCAGCTGCTCATGAGAGACAAGAATTGTCCAAACCAATCAGACGGAGACACAGAAGTGCTCAATGGAGACGAAATGGACTTGGACGAATCAGGATGCAACACCAACCACTGAGAGAGAGGAGAAGCTTCAGGAGTGGATGAGAAGCAAGTGGAGAGATGCAGAAACGGATTGGATCAAGAGCTGACCAATCAGACAGAAGCACCCAGCATCTTAATGGATAAGATGAGTTATAACCAATCGGACGATCACACCACATGCTTGGGGGAAGTCGGCTCATTGGATGAGCATTGAGAGGGGATAGGAATGACGTGTGTCATGTCCTGAGACGCCCTAGAGGCCACCAATCAAAGCTACCTAGCCTAGACCGCCTGGATGTCGCGTTCTGAGGCAGTGTAGGTTGCCACCAAGCAAAGCTATGCTAGGCCTAGGTCTCCATGTGTCTGCGCATGACTGGAGACGTCCCAAGAAGCCAGGCAGCCTCCTGAACTCCTATAAATACGCTCCTCCAGCCCCAAGTCCAAACCATTCCATTCCCAAAGCTAGAGAGCACCTGAAAAGTGATTAGAGAGTAATTAAGAAAGTTTTCTTAATTAAGTGAGGTTAGTGGAAGATTAGAGTAGGTCAAGATCAAAGCTTAAGGAAAGCTAGGAGGGTCTTGAAGTCTTCTTAAAGTGGTGAGTCTTGGTGTTATAGTTTTAGTCTTTTGGATCTATTGTGTATGCAGGTTGTATGAACACCAAAGCATGGGAGATGCTTTCTGTTCATATTGGTTATTGGTTCTGTAGTATAACTCTCTAAACAATAAGGTTTAGTAAAAATTGTGGAGAGTTATGCTGCAGAAATTTATATAATGTGTTGTGAGGTTGTGATGGATAATCTTCTAGGAGAGAAGTTATGCCGTCAGATCTCTTGTGTGTTTATATGCAGGTTTGCATTGTTGTGAGGTTGTGATGGGTAATCTTCTAGGGAGAGAAGTTATGCCGTCAGATCTCTTGTGTTGTGAGGTTGTGTCGGGTAACCTTCGGGGAAGGTTAGGCCGCCAGATCTCTTTTGTGTGTGAGGTTGTGTTGGGTAACCTTCGGGAAGGATATGCCAACAGATCTCTTTTCTGTGTAAGATTGTGATGGGTAACCTTCGGGGAAGGTTATGCCGTCAGATCTTGTTAGTGTAGATGCATATCTATACATTAGGTGATGTGAGATTGTGGATGGCTATGCCGCCAAATCTCATAGATGCATCGGTTGTGGGGTTATAGCATGGCTATGCCGCTAAACCTCGAGTGCATGCTAACATGGTGGTGCGTAAGGCCCATATGTTGAGTATGACTCCGATGTGGAAAGATCACGGACGGCTGAGCCGCCAGATCTTTCGAGGTTCGTGTGGGTACTCTTCCGAGGCAAGGGAAGCTCTGCCGCAGAACCGAGGGTATGAGGCATAGTGGTGCGTAAAGGCCCATATGCTAAGTACTGAGAACATGTGGCGTGTCTAACCACATGTTGTCTAGGAAGGTGTAGTCAAGCGCATTCTCGCACGTCAGAGCCCAACCGGATTGGCAGCGTGGAGGCTGTGCATGAAGGGAGGAAGACTCGGAGGATAACCTGGTCAGCTGCCTTGGCCGAGTATGGTACCATATGACGATATGGGATCCAACCAGACATTGGCATGGTGCGCCAGTAAGGCCAATAGATGGAAGGATGAACCGGGTACCGCGATGGACTGTAGTGCCCGGGTGAAGGCGTTCATCTAGTTTCTGTGTGATTCCGGATGAGCGTGAACCTTCACAGGCGTGGGCAGAGAATGTGGCTAATGCACCTAGGCGCCTTATTGCATATAGAAAACAAGTATTAGATACTTGTCTAGGTTTGCATGGGCATTGCATATAGATTGTTTGATTGTTGTTATAGTCTTGGGTTGATCGTACCTGTTCTTGTTTGATTGGGGTACGGTTAGTCTTAAGACTATGCATCAATATGCATGTGATTGCATATGTTGTGTTGTGCTAACCTCATTGCAGGTGAGGCGGGGTTACAAGCCCGCGGCGTTTGTGTTTGGAGTTTAGGGAATCCCCCTTGTATAGAGGTCCTAGACTCACTGAGTAATATTAGATTACTCATTCCTTTTGTTTAATGTTTTCAGGTGACCGTAGAGGTGTGAAGTAGAGCGGACCGCTGCAGGCAGTAGGCGCCAGAATAGTTTTGTGGTATGTTTTTGTAAAATATGGTTTGTTGTTTGGTTTGGAACTAAGGATCGATCCGCATGTTTTTAAGTCGGATTTTGTAAGCACTCTGATATTTTAATAAAGGAAAGTTTTATGTAAAGACCTTATGTTCCAATGATATTAGCTTGGTCCGGGCTAACACAACTCCTGACCGAAGTACGGGTTGGCAAGCCTTAGGCTTTGGTCAAGAGGGTCGAGTTCGTGGAACGGGCTGACCTGGGCTCTGATTTGTTCTTAGTCTGGGATGGCCTATTCGGCGAACATCGACATTTTGTGGCGCTTCTCGGAACGTCTGTGCCTAGGACGGTTCGGGGGTGTTACATGCGCGGCCGTGCGGCTTTGTTTCCCGGGTCGCGCGCCTTGGTCGTGCGCGGCTTGGCGTGGTCGCTTGAAACTTGGCCGACCGCGGGACAATGTATCCCGGGTCGTACTGCGTGATCGGCCGGATGGCTTGAAGCTTTGGCCGAGACATCAGTCGGACGAATTCGGTTTTGGCCGAGCGCAGAACAATCGTTCCTCGGCCAGCCGGTCTGCGTGTTCGGACGATGATTCTCGATATGGCCGTCTGGAGCAGCCTTCACTCTTTTGGCTATAACTCCTTTTCTACTCATCCAAATGAAGCCATTCCAATTGCGTTGGAAAGTTAACTCAATAAGAGCACGCAGGGAACTGGTCTTGATGAAATCCATTGAGTACAACTTTTTCTAGCTCCATCCAAAGTTGATGCAGGGGCATTGAACTGGTTTAGAGTCCAAATCTCCTGTTTTGCTCCATAATGCACCTTTTTACCTAAAATGACTCTTTGCACTTAAATCCATAAAAAATACCTTTTAACACAAGAATCCACTAGAAAACCATTAGAAAACCATAGTAAAATAGCATAAAAAGTAGGTAAAATAGAGGTATATCAATGAACAAAGTCGGATTCTCCCTTGAAACTCTTAGATCCAATACAAAAGAATGAGAAGAAAAGAAAACAAAGGTTGTATGTTGTGCTAAGGGTCTTGAACGGCGCCTCCTTTCTCTTCCTCCTGGACGGCGCATGTGATACCCCGTATCAAGACCTAAAACATCCCAAAGGCCGGGATGGGAAGATCAACACTCTGGGATTGGAAGACAAAGACGTGGGATCTAACCAGAGATCACAACGAAGACTTGGATCAAGACAGGATCAAGAACGATCGAGCAGAAGTGAAGATACACAAGATTGTCCAGGTGGGACGATCATTGTACGAACATGGGAAGAGTCGACGGACGGACGAAATATCAAAGTTCTCCAAATCAAGAAGAGAAGAGTTGGACGACATAAGAGACCATTCTAAGAAGTTTGGTCGAAGCAGAATGCAAATCGGACGAGCAGATTGAGAGATGGGACGGACGCCCAAGATCTATCCGCAACGACTGCAAGAAACGTAAATGTTCGGGATGGAGGTATTCCGCACATTTCCAAGCAACTATGTGGAAGCTCAGAAACATGGAAATGAGAGAAGGATTAAAATAGGAGATTTTAATTCTCAAGCACGACGGGGACGAAACCCTCCAGACAGGGAAACGTACGAAACCCTCTGGACGAGGAAACGTACATTTGGAGCAATCTTGTTCTAAGCCAATCAAGTGGTGACACCAGCTACTTGGAGAAGATAAGGATGATCATAACCAATATGGAGAAGACATGCAGCTACTCAGATGGAGCCAAAACCATTCAGCCAATCATGTAGCAACATCCAGCTACCGAATGAAGACGAAGCAAGCCTAAGCCAATTGGGCAACGACACCAGCTGCTAAAGAGGAGAGAGGGCGTGGATAAGCTCCAAGAAGATCTAATGCTATCAGGGAGAGACACCCAGCTGCTCATGAGAGACAAGAATCGTCCTAACCAATCAGACGAGACATTGAGGTGATAAATGGAGACGAAATAGACTTGGACGAATCAGGATGCAACACCAACTACTGAGAGAGAGTATGCTTCAGGAGTGGATGAGAAGCAAGTGGAGAGATGCAGAAACGGATTGGATCAAGAGCTGACCAATCAGACAGAAGCACCCAGCATCTTAATGGATAAGATGGGTTATATCCAATGGCACGACTACACCACATGCTTAGGGGAAGTCGGCCTATTGGATGAGCATTGAGAGGGGATAGGAATGACGTGTGTCATGTCCTGAGACGCCCTAGAGGCCACCAATCAAAGCTACCTAGCCTAGACCGCCTGGATGTCGCGTTCTGGGCAGTGTAGGTCGCCACCAAGCAAAGCTATGCTAGACCTAGGTCTCCATGTGTCTGCGCATGACTGGAGACGTCCCAAGAAGCCAGGCAGCCTCCTGAACTCCTATAAATACGCTCCTCCAGCCCCAAGTCCAAACCATTCCATTCCCAAAGCTAGAGAGCACCTGAAAAGTGATTAGAGAGTAATTAAGAAAGTTTTCTTAATTAAGTGAGGTTAGTGGAAGATTAGAGTAGGTCAAGATCAAAGCTTAAGGAAAGCTAGGAGGATCTTGAAGTCTTCTTAAAGTGGTGAGTCTTGGTGTTATAGTTTTGTTGTTTTGGATCTATACATGTGTATGCAGGTTGTATGAACACCAAAGCATAGGAGATGCTTTCTGTTCATATTGGTTATTGGTTCTGTAGTATAACTCTCTAAACAATAAGGTTTAGTAAAAATTGTGGAGAGTTATGCTGCAGAAATTTATATAATGTGTTATGAGGTTGTGATGGGTAATCTTCTAGGAGAGAAGTTATGCCGTCAAATCTCTTGTGTGTTTATATGCAGGTTTGCATTGTTGTGAGGTTGTGATGGGTAATCTTCTAGGGAGAGAAGTTATGCCATCAGATCTCTTGTGTTGTGAGGTTGTGTCGGGTAACCTTCGGGGAAGGTTAGGCCGCCAAATCTCTTTTGTGTGTGAGGTTGTGTTGGGTAACCTTCGGGGAAGGATATGCCAACAGATCTCTTTTCTGTGTAAGATTGTGATGGGTAACCTTCGGGGAAGGTTATGCCGTCAGATCTTGTTAGTGTAGATGCATATCTATACATTAGGTGATGTGAGATTGTGGATGGCTATGCCGCCAAATCTCATAGATGCATCGGTTGTGGGGTTATAGCATGGCTATGCCGCTAAACCTCGAGTGCATGCTAACATGGTGGTGCGTAAGGCCCATATGTTGAGTATGACTCCGATGTGGAAAGATCACGGACGGCTGAGCCGCCAGATCTTTCGAGGTTCGTGTGGGTACTCTTCCGAGGCAAGGGAAGCTCTGCCGCAGAACCGGTGGTATGAGGCATAGTGGTGCGTAAAGGCCCATATGCTAAGTACTGAGAACATGTGGCGTGTCTAACCACATGTTGTCTAGGAAGGTGTAGTCAAGCGCATTCTCGCACGTCAGAGCCCAACCGGATTGGCAGCGTGGAGGCTGTGCATGAAGGGAGGAAGACTCGGAGGATAACCTGGTCAGCTGCCTTGGCCGAGTATGGTACCATATGACGATATGGGATCCAACCAGACATTGGCATGGTGCGCCAGTAAGGCCAATAGATGGAAGGATGAACCGGGTACCGCGATGGACTGTAGTGCCCGGGTGAAGGCGTTCATCTAGTTTCTGTGTGATTCCGGATGAGCGTGAACCTTCACAGGCGTGGGCAGAGAATGTGGCTAATGCACCTAGGCGCCTTATTGCATATAGAAAACAAGTATTAGATACTTGTCTAGGTTTGCATGGGCATTGCATATAGATTGTTTGATTGTTGTTATAGTCTTGGGTTGATCGTACCTGTTCTTGTTTGATTGGGGTACGGTTAGTCTTAAGACTATGGCATCAATAATGCATGTGATTGCATATGTTGTGTTGTGCTAACCTCAATGCAGGTGGAGGCGGGATTACAAGCCCGCGGCGTTTGTGTTTGGAGTTTAGGGAATCCCCCTTGTATAGAGGTCCTAGACTCACTGAGTAATATTAGATTACTCATTCCTTTTGTTTAATGTTTTCAGGTGACCGTAGAGGTGTGAAGTAGAGCGGACCGCTGCAGGCAGTAGGCGCCAGAATAGTTTTGTGGTATGTTTTTGTAAAATTATGGTTTGTTGTTTGGTTTGGAACTAAGGATCGATCCGCATGTTTTAAGTCGGATTTTGTAAGCACTCTGATATTTTAATAAAGGAAAGTTTTATGTAAAGACCTTATGTTCCAATGATATTAGCTTGGTCCGGGCTAACACAACTCCTGACCGAAGTACGGGTTGGCAAGCCTTAGGCTTTGGTCAAGAGGGTCGAGTTCGCGGGACGGGCTGACCTGGGCTCTGATTTGTTCTTAGTCTGGGATGGCCTATTCGGCGAACATCGACATTTTGTGGCGCTTCTCGGAACGTCTGTGCCTAGGACGGTTCGGGGGTGTTACAGCGCAGCTTCCTGGCTTCTCTCTCTGACGGCCAAGCCTAGAAACCCTCGACTCTCCTTTGTTTGAGGCTAAAAACATGTATTTATAGGTTGTAGGTCGGTTAGGGCATTGAAGTGCCGGAAAAGGAAAGTTTCCCATGAGCCGGGCCTCTTCTCTCACGTCGTGTATGGGCTGGCATTGCACCAAGGAAAGCTCCAAACATTATCTAGGCCTCTTCCTTGTTAGCCAAGGCCTTGGCGCGGTTGCTCGGGCCATTAGACACTCCAAATCCTCCATGGGCTCGTTTGCTCGCTACCGGACATGTCTCGGTAGAAAATAAGTTCCGGCCCGATGGTTGATCCAAATGGCTTCATTCCACTTCGACGTGATGCATGACTCAAGTATCTATCTTTCCATATCAAGATCGTGACTTTTGGACGTCGGGAACTCCTCCGTTCGCGGCCAAACTTCCGAAGCTTTGTTCTGCTCGATAGCGAGAATTGACACTTGGAGATAAATTGATGCTCTTGACTTGGAAACTTGCATGGATCATGGTTTGAGGCTCTTTTGCTCCTTTTTCCATCCTTTTTGATATGTTTACCCTGTTAAGACTCCAAAACCAACAAATACAAGAAAACTACCTCAAAGGCATAAAACCTTTATGAAAGTACTTAAAAACATATGAAAATACTAAGTGAAAACATGCAAAATATGGATATATCAACTCCCCCAGACTTAGCCTTTTGCTTGTCCCCAAGCAAACTAAGAATGAAAGAGAGGTTTGAAAACATGAGAACTCTCAATCTTTGGAAATCCAAGTTGACCTTTACTTTAGTAATCCACACAAGACAGCATTGGCAATTTTGAATTAAGAACAAGAGTACATACCATGAGTTTTGCGATTTTCCCAAAGCGGTCCACCTCTCCTTAGACAATCCAATTCGCCACCCTTGACTCCTTTCATTTCTAAAGGTGTGGTCTCAACTAGGGAGTATCGATCAGCCGGCTTTTAGACTCTTACTCATCCCCTTGTTTTGGCACTTGTCTTTTTACTCCATGTTTCTCCTCTCTCTCTTCTCACTTCTTTGAGTTGATTCATCCCTTTTTTAGGGTAGCGAAGTATTTTTTTATTCAACTCCTTCTCTTTATTATAGAGGTTTTGCTTGGACCTTCCACAGACGCGAGTATTGATGGTGTTTGCCACCGAATCCCCGGTTGCTTGGATTCATAGGCCTTCCATAGACGCGAGTATTGATGGTGTTTGCCACCGAATCCCCGGTTACTTGGACCTTACGCTTTTTCTTTAAATTTGAAGGGGAGAGAGAGGGAAGCACGAACTCACTAAGACTTTTTCATTTGATGGAGAGGATGAGGAATCATGCCATTTGTATGCCAAGCCCCTAGCTGAGAAGATTAAGTTCATTAAGGGCGGAGTCAAAGATGGATCCTTCTCAAGTCCTTAGAGATGTGGGCGTTTTTGGTAGATCGATCAACTCATAGTGCACCTGTGGTAAGATGTATTGCCAAGAACTGCTCAATGGTCACTTAAACATTAGTACAACCATGGTTAGATCCAAGATAAGGTCATGATTCTCGACAAAAATTTTGACTCAATAAAAACGACTCGATAAAAGGGAAAAATGCAAATGAAAATGCCAAAATGAACAAACATAGTTAGTAATCCCCCCAGACTTAACTTGCACCGTCCCGGTGAAAGCAAATCAGATTAAGAGAGGTATAACATGAAGTTCAAATGAAAAATTGAAAAGAAAAGGGTTAGGATGATGTTACCAAATGTCGACCAATTTGTGATGAAGATCAGGTCCGGTTTGGGGGTTGTACACTTCTTTAGGCAATATTGGTCGGTGAGTTTTGAATTTCAGGCCCTGGTTCCCACCGGTTTTTGTTTTGGCCAAGATGGGTACATTTGGTCGGCCAAAAAGGAGTGCTGTGAACTACATAACAAACCGTTAAGAATTTCTTGACCTATATTGAAATTTCATAGACCAACCTGGTATTTTATGGCCTCTGGTGAAGTTTG